CCTGTCCTGCTGCAGCAGCACGTTCAATGCAGGGGAGGATAGAACAAGGAGAAAAGCAAATGCTGAATGGTGTAACTCAGGCCTCACCCTGATCATCGTTGTCCTGGGGGGCTTCAGGTGGCATGACCACAGGAGCAGGCTGGCAGACCTGTGTCTGTGATTCCTGGGGAATCTGTTTTCCCTTCCTGGCTCTGTGCAAGGGCTGGTGCTTTGGTGTGGGGGTACAGCCCTCCCTCCCTCCTCTCTGGGTGCTGAGAGCTGCCAGCAGCACTTCCTTGAGCTAAGGCTGGTACAGCTGCAGCAGGCGTGGCTGAGCCTGAGGACAATCCGTGGCATTTTGGGGACATTTAGGAGAAGCAGAAGAAAGAGCAACAGTTTAGTGCAGCCTCTGCCTTGCCAAAGCTGGCTGCCTTCCCAGCTCCAGCAGAAGAACAAGACTGGAAGGACTGAAGGGGCTGGAGGTACTTCAGAGAGGTGCTGGGTAACTATTGCCCTCTCTCAGGAGCCCATCTCCAAAATTCACAATCTCCAGTGATTTCTCCCCACAAAAGCTGCCAGGACAGAGAGCTGTTGCTGCCCTTTCCCTCCCTGCACCACCAGCCCTGGGGTACATTGTGCTCAGCCTCAGGTTACTGGGGCTGGCAGTTCAGAGCAGGCAGCGCATCCCCTGCCCAGGAATGTGGAAAGGAGAGGTGGAAATACACCCCGAGGTTGGCTGGATGTAGCTGGGGGCACAGGCAGATCTCCCCCACAACCAGATCAGCTTCCCCCTTTCCTCACAGGGCAAGGGCAGAGGGTTTTAACATGAGCAAGAGCATCACAAACCATCTGAGCTGCGGATTTGGCTTTGCACAGAGCTCTCCCCCTCCCCTGGCTCTCCCTCCTGGCCACGGGCAGTGTGAAATCATCACCTTTGCATTCCCTGCTCTTGATTTCCTGCAATCCCCAGAGCTCCCACTTCCCTCTGGGGTGCCTCAAAGCAGAGCTGGAGAGCGGGGCGAGGCGGGAGGGTTTGTTTCCATTTACAGGGAAACCTGTTAATAAAGGAGACCAAGGGGACTGCTCTTTTCCTGGCTGTGGGAACAGATGGCTGGAGAACGCAGTGCAATTAATATGCAGGGAGTCCTGCCGGGGCAGGGATTTGATTGCCTGTTAGGAGAGGTTAGCACGCTCAAGCTGAGCCCTGCCACCACACTGCCCCTCCCTGGCACCTGCTGCCTGCAGGGACTCTGTGGGGACGCTGGGACAGAGTGGATGGGGTCACAGATGGGACTGTGGGCACTGGATGTGGGGCAGGATGCAGCTGGGGACTCCGGGACAGTGGCAGGTCTCTGCTTCTTCCATGCTGGGTGATGCTCTGGGAGGGTTTGCCCTTTGGGTTTGTAAAAGCAAAAGGTGGCTCTGGTGATGAATGACTGCTCAGAGGTACTTCCAGGCTGGAAGGGCAGCTCTGGATTGTGTTCTTTCCTCCTGGACTTGTTACCTCTGAGTAAGGAGGTGCCCAGGAAAGCAGCAGGCAGGAGTTCCTGGATGAGCTGAGTGAGGTGGGCACAGGAGGTGTGCATCTCCTTGCTGCAGCACAGTGTGGGTACAGAACATTTCCCAGGGCTTCAAAGAGTGACCCAATAAATCCACAGGGAAAAAAAAAAAAACCCTGCCAAGGGCTAGCAGGGTTAGGGAGCCTTGAGGAAGTAGGAAACCCAGCAAACCCACCCCAGCACTGAGCCTGGGCCATGTGGCCACACAGTCAAGCCCGAATCGGTGGGAGCCTCCAGCCACCAGGCCACAATCAAACAGCCCAAAGTCACCCTGGGCACGTGTGGGGCTGTCCCTGTGCCCCATCCCCATCCCATCCTGGGCTCTCACGGTATTACGGTGCTCTCAGCCCCTTCCTCTTCATACCTTCGCTTCCCCCCCCCCCACACATACATTTTCTGGTATTTTCTTCCCTCCCTGCTCGTGGAGGTTGTTGAGCACCATGAAAGGCAGTGCCAGGCTTTGATCAGGGGCTGCTGCCTGTGTGGTGCCAGCAGCACGTTCCTGCATGGCACTGCCACTGCCGGCTGCCCTTTCTTCTGCGTGGGGAGGAGGCTGCTGGAGATGTCCAACCTCAGCACAAATCCTTGCAATTAGGCCTGTTCTGCTGCCTGCCTCCTTTGATCTCCTTGAATTATTTATCGCCTTTCCTTTCTCCTCTTTCCTAAATCCTCGGTGTCTTTCAAGTGCTGATTTCCCTCCTCTCCCCCCAGCCGTGGCTGGCTCTGCCTGTTTGCCTGCAATTACCGACCCTTCTGCTCCTTCCATCTCTCCCCTTTTGTTCTCTACCAGATCACTCCTTGCTGCTCTCATGGCTTCACCCTGCCCACTTGTCTGACAGCATTTCTTCCTGCTTTTTTCGGATTTTTCTCACCTGGCTGGCTATTGCCTCTCTCCATCCCATTCCAGGTGTGTTCTGGCTGTGTTTGCTGCCCTGGGCTGGGCTATGCCCCATCTCCCACTGCTGTTCTCCCGGGCCACTGGTCAAACCCTGCAGTGGTCCTGCCACAAAGCCCTGGCTCCTGGCCAAAACCAGGAACCCCCATGGGGCTCCTGTCCTTGCCATGCCAGGATCTCCCTCTGCTGCTTTTCCATCCCTCATTTCTTTGTTTCCCAGGGCCTGATGCATTATTCAGCGCTGTGGCCGCTGCGGGGTGTTGGGAAGATAACGTTGCTGCAAAGGGCACGGGCTCAGCCTGGAGATGCTGGGTTTGCTGTCATGGGCTGATTTCCCCCTCCAGCATTAAACCAGGAATAGTCCTGACCATGCAGGAGGTGTCTCCTAGGAGGTGACATCTGCTGTCAGCCCTGAGGGGGACATGGCAGGGACAAGGGTAGGAGCAGGGGGAGGCAGCAGTGGCCCTGGCTGTGCTCCAGGGGCTGCATCTCCCAAATCCAGCCCCACTGCCTGCCTGGAGTTTAATAGAGAGGCAAGTCCAACACATGGCCCCTTATTTCTGTAGTCCTGACGTGGATAATGGATGCAGGATGCAGGTTTTGCTCGGCAGATGTAGCAAACAACCCCAAAATGTTGTTTAATCCTTGTGGAAAGAGGATGCTCGTGCCCCCCAACTCTGTTTACACCTGGGCATGTGAACCCCCAGCTGGACCTGTCCCCATGGCTGCTGCCACCTCAGCCTGTGCACAGGGACGGGGAGGAGGGTGAGGGATGAGGGATTTGGGGCTGGTGTTGCTGGCAGCATTTTGGTTCCTGGCTTGAAACAGCATCACCCAGCTGCCACCAGCTGTGGGGACATCCCCACCAGGACAAGCCTCTCCAGCCTCGGCTGGCCCCAGGAAAGCTCAAAGCTCCCTTTACACCCCATCTCTGACTTCCCATCCCCGTCTCTGCAGAAACTCCCTCCCCAAATCCTGCTCTGAGGCCAAAACCCCCATGGAGTGATGGCCAGGTGCTTTTGTTGGGCTCTGCTTGGGAAGCTGCAGCCAAATTCAGGAGGGAGCTGCAGAGCTTGGACAGGGAAACTGAGCCAGGGGTGGGACCAGGTGTCCTCAGCCAGATGCGTTTGGTGGCCCTGGCAGAGCAACTGGGGTGAAATCAGAGTGTTTTGGGAAGATAAACCCTGGCCATGACCACACTGGGCAGTTTTGAGGTGGATTAGGGGAGGTTTGGGAGCTTTCCCCCTTCTCTGGTTTCACCATTTCCCATTGCCACTGTGTAAGGGCTGGGGGCTCTGTGTAAGGGCTGGGGGCTCTGTGTGGGGGGTGGGGGCTCTGTGTAAGGACTGGGGGCTCTGTGTAAGGACTGGGGGCTCTGTGTGAGGACTGGGGGCTCTGTGTGAGGACTGGGGGCTCTGTGTGAGGGCTGGGGGCTCTGTGTGGGGGGTGGGGGCTCTGTGTAAGGACTGGGGCTCTGTGTAAGGACTGGGGCTCTGTGTAAGGACTGGGGCTCTGTGTGAGGACTGGGGCTCTGTGTGAGGACTGGGGGCTCTGTGTAAGGACTGGGGCTCTGTGTGAGGACTGGGGCTCTGTGTGAGGACTGGGGCTCTGTGTGAGGGGCTCTGTGTAAGGACTGGGGGCTCTGTGTGAGGATGAAGGGCAGGTCTGTGGAAAGACAGGAGTCTATGGAATGATGGGGGTCTATGGAAGGACAGGAGTCTATGGAATGATGGGTGTCTGTGGAAGGACGGGGGTCTGTGTAAGGATGACAGGGTATGTGTAAGGATGGGCTCTGTGTAAGCACAGGCTCTGTGTAAGTACACGCTCTGTGTAGTTACACGCTGTGTATAGTTACACACTCTGTGTAGTTACATGCTGTGTGTTACACTCTGTGTTACACGCTCTGTAGTTACACACTGTGTTACACGCTCTGTGTGTTACACTCTGTGTTACACTCTGTGTGTAGTTACACACTCTGTGTTACACTCTGTGTGTTACACTCTGTGTTACACTCTCTGTGTTACACGCTGTGTGTTACACACTCTCTGTAGTTACACACTCTGTGTAGTTACACTCTGTGTTACACTCTGTGTTACACACTCTCTGTAGTTACACTCTATGTGTTACCCACTCTGTGTTACACACTCTGTGTTACACACTCTCTGTAGTTACACACTCTGTGTACTTACACATTCTGTGTTACACACTCTGTGTTACACTCTGTGTTACACTCTGTGTTACACACTCTGTATAGTTACACTTTCTGTAGTTACACTCTGTGTTACACGCTCTGTGTTACACTCTGTTACACACTCTGTGTTACACGCTCTCTGTACTTACACACTCTGTGTTACACTCTGTGTTACACACTCTGTGTTACACACTCTGTGTTACACACACTGTGTTACACTCTGTAGTTACACTCTCGGTGTTACCCGCCCGGCGCTCTCCGCAGCGCGGTGCAGGCGCGGTGCCGGCGCGGTGCAGTGGCGGCCTCCGGCCGGCAGGCGGCGCTGCGTGCGGCGGGCGGCGCGGGTCCCGCGGCCGGGGCGCTCCGCGGCGGGCGGCTCCGTGTGCCGGAGCTGTCCAGCACTTCAGCAGGGGCCGCGCCGGGGCCGCGCCGAGGGGCCGCGCCCGGCGGGACCCCCGGGACCCCGGTAACCCCGGTAACCCCGGCACCACCGGCACCTCCGGCACCCCCCGCGGCCCGCAGGGACACAGCGGGGCCGGGCCCGGCGGACGGCGGGGCGAGGTGAGGCGCGGCCGGGCCCGCGGCTGTGGGGGTGGGGGGGCAGCGGGACCGCGCTGTGTCCTGAGGGGAAATTGGGGGTGCAAAGGGTGAGGGAGGACCAGACCCCCCCCCGCCCCCTCAGCCATCCGGTGATGCTGGTGGCGACCCCCAGAGACGGGGATTTGGGGTGCGGTGCTCCTCAGGGGGATGGGAATTGGGGTCTCCGAAGGGATGGGGAAGGAAGGGTGTGTGGTGTTGTGGGTGTTGGGATATCTGGAGACCCCTCCGGGGGGGTGTGCTGGGGGTCTCGCCCCGTGAGGTTTGATGCTCCTGGGGGTGTGGGATGGGGTGAGGAGTCTGGAGGTGAGGTGCTTTTTGGGGTGCAGGGGGTCCCCCCAGGGATGTGGATATGCCGGGGGCTCTCTGGTGCTGAGGAGTGTTTTTGGGGGTACCCACATCCCTCTTTTCCATGCTGGGGGCAGACAGGATGGGGCTGGGACAGCGGGTGACCCCCAGCAGTGGGTTTTTGGCTGGGAAGGACGGGACAGGGACGATCCTTAGCAGATGCTGTGCCTTGTGTGGTGCAGGTGGGAGACACGGTCCCCAAACCCCTTTTTCTGCTGTGTGGACCCCCAGGCTGTGCTGGGGAGGGTTTGGCTGATGAGATTTCAAACCCTGCGGGTATTGCACGAGGGAAGGAGAGGGGGCAAGGCTTGGCAGCGGGGAGCCACAGCAGCAACTCACCCGCTTGTCTTTTGGGAGCGTTTTGTGCTTCTCCTTCCCAGATCAGCTTTGTCCCCAGGGATGTCTGGGCTGTGCCATGCAGGGAGCTGTTGGTGAGGGGTCGGGCCATGGCTCAGGGGGAGCAGGTGGCTTTCAGAGGACACAGGTTCATTCATTCCCTCCAGAACAAGATTTCAGGCTGGATGTGAATTGGTTTGCCTGTGCTCACACTGCTGTATGGGGGTCACCTGGGAGCTGGCAGGATTTGGGGGTGTCTCAGGTTGATGACAAATGTCCAGGACCTTCTCTGAGGGTGCAGATGCTCACTGGTTTCCTTGCCCTGGCATGTGGATTCTTCTCTGGCAGAAGCACGGGGACACCCCTGCTGTGGGGGGATTTTGGGGACAGTGTTTGTGTCCAAACACACATCGTCATCACTCCATCCCAGTCTGCCAGTGTGGCCTCACACAGTGCCACCCTCTGTGTCTCACCTGCTTTCCCCAGAATGCCCCCAGCATCCCACCTGCCTCCCCCTGCCCCAGGACTCATCCTGACAACGCATGCAGGGGATGTCAGGAGCTTTCAGAGCCAGCAATTGGACAGATTTTAAGGGAACCTTTGGTCCTTGGTCACTGTTGGGAATGGCAAGCAGGGGTTTTGCCAGGCAGATGGGTGCAGGGGTCTTGGTTGGCTTTATCTCTGATGTGAAGAAAATGCTGCTTTTCCCCTGGACAAACGGTTCCATGCCCCTGGGGCCAGATCCAGTTGTGGGTGGGTGTGTGACAGTGGGTCCTGGAGCCTGCTGGAAGAGGGAGCAGAGGGTGCTCACCCCATATCTCTGGGCAGGGGATGCCTGTGGGGTGCAGGTCACCCTGTGGGTTAGTGCTTATGCTGAGGGTCTGCCAGATGTGGGGGTCCCCAATCCCCAGAGCCCTTTCTCCTCCTCCTCCTCCTCCTTCCTGTCTCCCAGCTCCCGTTTTCCCCGGCCAGGTGGCCCGTGGCTTATATAATGTGCTCAAACCCCGGAATAGCTCCTCCCGTTACACAACCACCCAGCCAGCCACGGAGGGGGGTGGGGGGGATTCCCAGCTGGATGCTCCCCCTGCACTGGCCGTGACCCCCCTCTACCTGCAGTGCTCAGCTCCAGGGGTTGTTCACCGGGATTGTGTCCCCACTGGGGAAGGTGACCTCATTGTGACAGTCATCCCCCTGCTCCTCCATGTGCTCAGTAATTGCTTTTATTTGTAGTAGTGTTGTTGCTCCCCTTCCTCACAGGGGTGACGGGCCTCGGGCTGACTGGGCCTCCTCCTGACTCCTTGCCCAGCAGAGCAAATGGCCCCAAAGGTGCAAAACCTGAGGTGGCTGTTCCCCCTCTCCATCCCCATTCCTTGTTTGAGCACCTCCTGTTTGGGGAAGGTCTGGCAGGGGCATTCGCAGGGGGATGAGGGAAGTGTGGCCAAAGGGGTCCAGGCTTGGGGATCCCATAGGAAATCCCATCACCTGGATCTGCTGTCTTTCCACTCAGCATGGGGAGACTGCTGCTGCCGTGTGGATGTGCTGCTCCTCTCCCTAATCCCTGATTCAGGAATGGGATCTCTGCACGGGTCCTGGGGCTGCTCCCCGTCATGGGGTGACCCCTTTCCCAGCAGCTCTTCTCCAGCCAGAGTGAGAATGGAGCTCCTCAATAGCCAACAGCCCAAGGGGTTCAGGCTGGGGGGGCTTCAGATGGAGCATTTTGGGGACAGGAGTAAATCCTGGCTCCTCACCCTCCACTGTGTCCTTTTCCCTGGGTCATCTCCAGGGGATCTCTGTGCCCACACCCCTGTGTGGTGCTTGTCCAGTGTGAGATCAATCCCCAACCCTGGCTCCCCCATCCCTACATCCCCAAGCCAGGAAGGAGCCCAGTTGCTTAGCAACTGTTTAGCTTCTCCACCAGCCTCCTCATCTATTTTAAAATATATATGTATTTTTATATGTGTGTATATATATATATCTGCACAGACGTAGGTATGCACATGCATCTGCAGCTCCTGACCCCCCAGCCAGCATCTATATTTTCTTTACTAATTGCTTTAAAATCTGTCAGGTGTCAAATTCTGTCCAGCAGCTGCAGGAAAAGATGCCCTGGCCTTGGGGAAATAGGGATGGCAGCACTGGGAGGGCTGTCACCAATCCATTCCCAGTGCCCATTCCCACGGACACCATCCCTATGCCTTGGGGCTGGAGGGCAGCGCTAACGAGCCCCAGAATGGCTGCACTTTTAAAGCTACATTTGCCTTTTTTCCTCGTTCTTGAAGGTCTGACTCACAGTTTTTGGCACTGGAAGGCAGCTCCGGAGAAGGTCAGCCCAATTAATGGCAGCAACCCTGGACTTTTCCTCCTTGTAACTCCAGCTGGGTGTTCAGAGGAGGCTGGCTGCCTGGCCATGGTGTTCTGGCATATTTTGTGTCCTGAAAAAAAACCAAAAACCTTCTCCCAGCTGTCACAGCGCAGACAGGGAGCAGCCTGGGATGGGGCTGTGCATGCTTGGGGACAGGGTTATACTTTCAGTCGGTGGTGGTGCGACCTGATGAGATGCCAACAGGCAGGAGAGCCACGGGGACCACCCCTCGCAGCCTCTCTGGAGTGACTGGAGTGTCCTCACCTCACGGGAGCCGCCGTGCTGGGCTCTGTGCCCACATCCCGTGCCCGCAGCCCGGCACATCCCGGGCGCTCACGGCCGCCCCGGCTGGTGCAGCTGGATGTGGCGAGAATTAATGGAGCGCCGGCCGGAGGCGGCTTTAATTAGCACCGAGGCACGGGGAGGGGGCAGGATGCCCGGGGACCGCCTTTCCCCAGCGAGGGAGAGATGCCGGGAGAGCATCCAGGCACCCCAGAGAGCACCCAGGCACCCCAGAGAGCATCCAGGCACCCCAGAGAGCACCCAGGCACCTGGGAGAACATCCAGGCACCCCAGAGAGCATCCAGGCACCCAGAGAGCACCCAGGCACCCCAGAGAGCATGCAGGCACCCCGGAGAGCATCCAGGCACCCCAGAGAGCATCCAGGCACCCAGAGAGCATCCAGGCACCCAGAGAACACCCAGGCACCCCGAGAGCATCCAGGCACCCAGAGAGCATCCAGGCACCCAGAGAGCATCCAGGCACCCAGAGAGCATCCAGGCACCCAGAGAGCACCCAGGCACCCCAGAAAACATCCAGGCACCCCAGAGAGCATCCAGGCAAAGCCTGGGTGGGATGACCCGAGCTGGCAGGGCCTGTCCTGGCTGTGTGACAGGGGCAGTGCAGTGTGTCCGTCCTTCTGTCTGTCCTGGCAGGCTCTGAGCTGGTACTGTGGGTGCCCAGGTCCTCCACACCTTGGGTGTGGTTCAGCATGGTGGGGAGGGAGGGAGGGAGAGACCTGGGCATGGGATGGAAGGTGGTGGTGGAGGGTGAGGAGGAGGAGAATGGAAAAGAGGGATGAAGATGGAAGATGGGGGTGAGGAGGAGAATGGAGAATGTGGATGAGGATGGTGGATGGGGAGGATGATGAGGAGGAGGAGGAGGATGGGGATGAGGATGGAATTTGGGGATGAGAGTGAAGGTAGGGATGGAGGATGGGGCATCTCTAAAGAATTCCAAAAGCTCTAATCCAGGTATCAGAAAGCACCTGTAAGCTGAAAAGCTGGATTGACCTCCCCAGGGCCCAAGGTGGCATGTAGGAAGAGGATCAGGATCCCAAAATACGTGGGCGAATGCCTGGTTAATATGGGAAAAGAGGGATTTGCTCAGGAGTTCCCCCAGCATCTCCAGCCCATGGTGCCAGGGAGTTTGGGGCCTCCTGGGTGCCAGGAAGGGAATTTGGGACGTGGGAATGGACACCAGCAACTGTCCCCAGCTACACATCCTGCAGCCTTTGGGAGTGTGTGGAGACACAGAGCTCACCCCAGGATGCCTCCTCTCCCTCTGGGTGAGGCAGCCAGGCAGTGGCTGCCACTGATTGATGTTTTGTGGGTAATTACTGCAGATAATGAAATATTTAACCATCATCTTTATTATCAGGGTAGTGCTGAGCCGGGTGGGAAACCACTGCTGTTTGGCCAGGGCTGTGCTGATGGGTTTGGTGCTGATTTTGGTGCTGGCAGGGCCAAGTGGGCCCTGTGTGGTGGCCAGTGGATTGAGGTCGTGGTGGTGGCAGCTACTCTGTGTCCCTGAGCTGTCCCAGGGCATCGCTGGGGCTCTCCTTGTGGGGCAGGGAGAGCACAGACCCAGCTGGGGGACAGGGGCTCCCTGTGCCCTGATGCCTTGTCCCCACTGTCACCAGCTGTGTAGGGCTGGCTCTGTTTGGCATCCAGAGGTTTGCCTGGGGCCCCTCTGGAGAGCTGGGGGAGGGTTGTGGGTGGGTTTTTCCCATTCCTTTGTTTCCCTGGCCGTGCTGTGGCTGCAGTAGGGGCTGGTACAGTGGATATTGCTCCAGGCTGAGGGGACACTGGGATGCAGTACCATGTCCATCCCCCATCCAGCTCCACCTTCCTGGCCCCAGGTGCAAGGGGATTCCTCCAACTCCATCCTTTTCATGGGAACAGGGAGCATTTCCTGGTGGATCTGCATGCCTCCCCCACCATGCAGCCTCTCTCCCAGGTACCCATCCAGCTGCCAGTTTGTCTCCATCTGCCTGCCCAGCTCTGTATCCCACACGCTCTCAAGCTTTTTTAGCAATGAATTTATCCACTGCTGGGCTCAGGATGAAATGAATTCCCACTGGGGACAAGCAAGCAGAGGCTGCTGCAGAAAGCATCCTCTCTCCTTTCCTAAACCCTTCTGTGGGGAAAGGTTTCTAAGCAGGGAGCTTCCCCCTTTCCCTAACTTCCTTCCAGCTTTTTGGCTTCATGTCCTGATGGGAGAAAGGGGGAGAGGAGCCCCCAGGGCAGGTTTTTCTGCAGCATCTCTCTGTTCTTCAGCCTGGAGCCATCCTGGGATATGGAGGGGGCTGGGTTGAGAGTGGGCAGGGAGGGCTGAGCAGGGCTGTGCTGTGCCATGGGGTTTGAGATGTGGGTGCTGCAGGCAGGGGGGGACCCGGGGACCCTCCCAGTGCAGGGATGAGCATCCAGGAGTGCAGAGCCCTGTCTGGCTCCTGCTGCACCAGCAGGATCTCCCCTGTGCCTCTGTGGAAGTAAAGGCTGCTGGCTCCTCTCTGCATGGTAGTAATGAGGAAGAAAAAAAGAAACAGAAAAAAAAAAACCTTGTAATTAAGCACTCAGCTGCTGTCCTCCCTGGGCAGACTTGTCGGGAGATAAATGGCTGTGTGGGGCAGCCAGTGGCAGCAGGAAAGTCAGGCATGTCCTGTGGGGATGCTGTGGGGTAGGAGACACCTTCTGGCCAGGTTGGGATCCCCACCACCTCAGGGAGGGCTCTGAGGTATTTTCTCTTCTCAAACAGCAAAGAAACCTCATCAAAGCCTCTCGTGGGTGATCTGCATTCCCACCCTGGCTCTGTCCCAACTGGCACGGCCTTGGAAAGCTCTGAACTGCTTGGTGGAATGGCACACTGGGAATGGCAAACCTTTCCTGGGCTTGAAGCAGTGGGGATCAGTCCCTGGTCCATCTACTCCTTCCACTTCTGCTGGACTTAGGGATGCCTTCTTCCCTGGGCCAGTGTTTGCCCCATCCTGCATGGGCAGCATGTGTCAGCCACCCAAGGATTGGCTGCTTCCTTCATAGGAGATGACTTTCAGGCACCACCCATCCTTGGAAAAACTTCCCCAGCAGGATCTCTGGGACAGAAACACCTCAGAGAAGTGCCTTGCTGGCAACAGCTGCTTCTCCAAGCCCAAATCCAGCCTGGAGAGTGAGGCAGGATGCTCTGCCTTTGCTCCTGACGGTTTCTCGTTGTGCAGGGCCCCTGTAAAGGCCGGGTGGTGCCTCTGCAGCCTGGTGGAGCTGGTGGGTAAGACAGCAGATCTCCAGTGGGAGCATCCCACGCACGGGAGAGGGCTGGGCAGGGCAGCTGGGGCACAGCAGGACAGCAGGGACAGTGAGGAATGGGTGCTCAGCCATGCACCGATGGCCCGAGGGCGCTGAGACAGGGCTGTGTGTGATCCAGGAGATTTGGGAGCATCTCCTCCTTCAGGCTCAGGGAGCAGCAGCTGCTTGGGAGCAGTTGTCCTCTTCCAGGGGTTATTTTTGGAGCCAAGAGAGGACACATTGACTGTGTGGTGGAAAGAGGAGGCAGAGACATGTGAAGATGAAGGAGGCAGAGGCTGGTGGGGATCATCATCTCCCCTTGCAGCCCACACTGGGCCGTGCCAGAGGATGCCAGGCCATAGCCAAAGAGTGCCAGGCCATGGCCCAACAGCATCAGCAAGTGTTTGCTGCCTGAGTCAGACATCAGCATGTCCCACCATCACAACCAAACCAGCCCGTGCAGCTGGGAAATGCAAGGGGGTATCTGAGGGTTTTGGGTCCCTAGAGGATTGTAAGGATAGATGCCTGTCCCTGCTCCAAACCCACACTGGCTGACAATGGGGTTCATGGGGTCCATGTCCTGCTGCTGCTGCACAGTCCTGGGCCCCACAGAGCCACCCTTGGCCAGGTTTCTCCAGTACAAGGCTGGAGCAGATCGCCCTCCTCTCTTTCCCAGGAGCCTGTCATGGTGGTGGAGGTAGCTCCAGCCCTGCTTTTGCAGCAAGGTGCAGGGACATCGAGTCACTGTCCCCATCAACCTGCTTTCAAGACTGATTTTACCCTCAGGTCCTCGCAGGGTCCCCTCACTGTCACGGGGTGAGAGGGGAAGCAGGGCAGGTGCTGACCCTGACTCTTTCTCTCCCTCCCAGGCAATCATGGCTCTCTACAACAATGGGGCTGACGTGCCTTCGCCCCAGGAAGCCTCCAATGGCTTCCCCCAGCCCGGTGCCTCAGGAACGTGGCACAAGGGCGAGGAGGAGGTGAGGCTGGTGGAGCCCAGCATGGTGAAGAAGGCTCACCGGGAAATCCTGGACCATGAGCGCAAGCGGCGGGTGGAGCTGAAGTGCATGGAGCTGCAGGAGATGATGGAGGAGCAGGGGTGAGTGCTGGGGACATGAGGAGGGGATCCTTTTGACCTGTTTGCACCTTGTTCTCCCCCTTTAAAAAATAAATTCATGTGGCAAGTGTCACTATTTGGAAGTTAATTCACTTTTGGGTGAACCAAACAGCTTTGGTAGGTTGGTCTGTGGTGGGAAATGCCTAAGAGTTCATCCACTCACCCTGCTTGGAAGTCTGGGCTCCCAGCTTGTCCTGCAGGGAAAGATGAAGCAAGAAGAAGGAGGAAAGCTGCTCATGGACGTGCAAGTCTGGGATGTGAGAACCCAGAGGAAAGCTGGAGTTTAGTCACAGGAGAGGCTGGTTTGGAGCTTCAGTTTGCCCTGTTTCCCTTCCCTTCCCTTCCCTTCCCTTCCCTTCCCTTCCCTTCCCTTCCCTTCCCTTCCCTTCCCTTCCCTTCCCTTCCCTTCCCTTCCCTTCCCTTCCCTTCCCTTCCCTTCCCTTCCCTTCCCTTCCCTTCCCTTCCCTTCCCTTCCCTTCCCTTCCCTTCCCTTCCCTTCCCTTCCCTTCCCTTCCCTTCCCTTCCCTTCCCTTCCCTTCCCTTCCCTTCCCTTCCCTTCCCTTCCCTTCCCTTCCCTTCCCTTCCCTTCCCTTCCCTTCCCTTCCCTTCCCTTCCCTTCCCTTCCCTCCCCTCCCTTCCCCAGTTTTGGGGTGACAGGACCCCCTGCCCCCATCCTGCCAATGCCATGGCCAGGCTCTGCAAGCTGCTCTCCCCTTGGCAAAAAAAGGGATAGGGAAAAACCCAAGGGGCTGAGGAACATCCCTTCCTGAGTGGGCAGAAGAGACTGGGGGGCCAGGAAGGAGACCCCCATCCCTGCTGGGCATGGCTGTGCTGTCTCTGGCAGCAGCCAAACATCCTGATCCCTCTGACAGCTCTCTAAAACCTGATGGATGGAGCAAATTCTCCAGCACACTTGGGTAGATGGGAACTGGTATCAGCTGGGGAGAAGGAAAATGGATTGAGGGAAGGCTTCGCCAAGGCTTTCATTAAGAGTGCAAGCGTGACCTAGAATTAAATTGTCTCACACAGACTGGAATAATGATTGTGCCTAATTTGTCATTATGGAAATGAATAAGGCTGACCTGGCGCTTTGGGGAGCCCAGAGCCTCCTGTAGGGTTCCTGAGCCCTAGTAGGGATCTTACTACTGGTAGTAGCATTACTGCAATGGGTAATAGCAACACTGCAACCAGGGTTGTTGTTATTGCTGTAATTGCTTTGCTGTTATTAAGGCTATTAATAACACTGATGATGGTGATACACCAAAATGATAATATAATTACAGTAATAATCTTGGTCAACCTGCTTAATCCTCTGCCTGCTCTTCCCCTCCACACAGGGGCTTTCCAGGGGTGTTCCGTGAGAAGGGATTTACACCCCTGAGGTTTCTGCCTGGACCAGGGGCAGCCTCCTGGCCATGGCCTTGGGGGAGTTGTTGATGAGGGCAGAGCCCCAGGATGGATGTGAGTGTCAGCAGAGGGGGTTCTGCAGGGATCTGAGCACTCCCTTGTTTCCTTAAAGGAGAATGGCTCCTCCTGCCTGTGCTGTAGCTCGCTCCAGGCTGCCTGCACTGTTATTCCCTGCCTGCAGGCTGGATTCCTTGGCCAGAAAAGAAGTGTCAGCAAATTTTCTCTCTTTCCAAAATCATTCTATATGTTAAATGCAAAAGCAAACCCCCTCCAACAGGGTTATAAGCAGCACCAGGGGAATGCAGGAGAGAAAGGGCTGGTGATGCTCCTGCCTCCATCCCTGGAGGTGATGGGGAGTTCCTCGCCTGGGCCTCCCCCCACAGATTTGCTAATGGCCCAGCCGCAGTGGCCCATCTGTCACCTCCTGTTTGGCCTCATGTCCCCTCTCCAAGAGCACCGGCCGTGTTCTTAATGTGCTGCAGCAAATGCTCATCTCGGGCAGACATCTTCCTGCTGCTGTGGGCTGGCTGATGTCCATGGGATGGCCAGGGCTGTCAGCTCTGTCCTTGTGGGGTGGCCACTTTGCCCAGCTGGGTGCACTGCCATCGAGGGAATGGAGCAGAGCAGCATTTGGGGGTGCTACCCTGGTTTTGGGGCTCCCCGTGCACAGGTGCGAGCTGAGGGGAAGCAGCCAGGCTGCCTCCATACCCTTCCTTCTGTGTGGAGTCTGGCTGGGGAGTTAATGGGAGCCTTTCAGTGCAAATGAGTTTGTTAATATTAATTCTCCTCTCCTTGCTGTTCCCCTTCATGGACACTGCAGGAGGGGTGGGTGGTGCCATGTCCCTTCTTCACCCAGGGCACCCCGAGCACTGCAAGGGGCATCACTGTCCCCAGCTGTGTGAAGTGCCAGCCTTGGGGACTGCTAGGCCTGGGCCAGGCAACCCAGGGCATCCAGTTTTCTGGGCTTGTGGCAGTGTGATGGAAAGGGTGAGCCATGAGCAGCCCCTCTAGAGGCTGTGGCTGAGGACAGGGACACACACAGAGCCTGACAGCGTGGTGGTGACATGAAATCCCTCTCCCTTCACCCTATCCCCCGGGATGATGCCCAAGAGCATCGTGAGGCTCTCCACTGCATCCCGCTGTTGGGATGTTTTAAGTTGAGGAGGATGCTCAGGTGCCCTTGTGCAGCCACAGGATGTGGCACAGAACCACCTGGCCAGGGCTGTCACCTGTCCCTTCCCAGGGACACCGCGGGGACAGCAGGAGTGCCGTGGTTTGCAGTGGCTGTTCTCAGATGCCAGGACACAGTGATTAGTGTCTCTCGTTAATAACCCTGCGGCGCCTGAGTCAGCTCTGAGTAGTGCAGAGCTGGCACAGCTTCCAGGGCCCCAGAACCTCAGGAGACGAGCAGGGGGAGCTCGTGATGGGACAGAGATGCTGGGAGTGACCCCCAGAATCACAGGCTGCAGTGGTGGCACTGCTGAGAAGGTTTGCTGGGTACTTGCCCCAAAGCCTCGGTGGTCACAGGGAATGGCATCATAGTCATCCTTTTCTTTCCCCCCTTCTTGATGTCCCTTCCTCTGCCAAGCACTGCTGGGAGAAGCATGCAAGAGAGAGGAGGACAGACATAGTGATGGCAGGAACCAAGCAGAGGTCTGCTGTCCTCCAGGCCCTGATGACTATCACCATGCCACCTCCCTTTTTAATTGTGTCACTTCCAAAGCTATAGAGTTCCTCAGCAGGTCCATGGGGTGCCCATGCTCCAACCACAGCAGCCCTGACCACGTCTTTGCCCATCCAGGTACTCGGAAGAGGAGATCCGACAGAAAGTGGGGACCTTTCGGCAAATGCTGATGGAGAAGGAGGGTGTGCTCACCAGGGAGGACCAGCACGGGCGCCAAATGTAAGTCAGGCAGCTTCCAGTTGGTCCATCTGTGTGTCTCATCCCAGAGAGGCACGTCCTTGATTGCCTCTGAGGATCAATGGCAGGTGGGTGGGTGGATGAGGGTATATCTAGGCATGACTGGGTAGATGGATGGACATGGAGAGGGTATGAAGAGATGGCTGGATGGATGGATGGATGGATGGATGGATGGATGGATGGATGGATGGATGGATGAATGGATGGATGGATTGGCTTTGAGTCAATGTTTGTTTGATTTGATGGTTGGTTGGTTGATTTGGTGGTTTGATGGCTGGTGGTCGGTTGGTTGATTTGATGGTTAGTTGGTTGGTTGGCTGTTCAGTCAGTTGGAGGCAAGATTTGCCCCTCTGAGGCAGTATCCTACCCCTGGAGAGGTTAAAGATTATCCTGCACTGGTCATTTGGAGATCTCTGGGTGCTGTGCAGAGGCCAGCGTTGCAGTGCTCCTGTTCCAGAGGATGAAACCCAAGTGCAGAAGGTCTCAGTGCTTGGCTCACCCCACCAGCAAGGGGCAGGGACCTCATGGAATAAGCTCCTCCAAGGAGATCCTGTACTGTTCCTCTTCTTCTAATCACTCCTCACAGTGCCTGGCCCTGGGGGGCTGCCTCTGCCCTGGAAGGGAGCTTGGGGCTCAAGTTTGGTGTCAAAGCAGCCCAGCTCCTGCTGGGGACATGCCAGTTGCTGCTCCTGCCCTGCACAGGACTATTCCCTGCCTCACCGGGGTGCACCCCAGCTCGATGATGATTTATCAGTGCAATGCCTAATGGCCCAGGCAGCATGGCCGGCCCGGCGTGCACCATCCATCAGCCTGGAAACCAGGTCACTTGGGACAGGAATAGATGCTTCAGGTTCACTGAATATTAATGCTTCATTAGGGTCAGGAAATCAGGGCGGGGGGGAGGCAGGGAAGCCATGGCAGCAGGGAGAGCCTCCCTCACACCACTCTGCTGGCACACCAGGCAGGGTGGGACACAGGGACACGCTGTGCCCTGTCTGGATGGGGCTCACGGGCTTGGGACAGCGTGAAACATTCAGGATCCTCCTTCAGGCAAGGAAAAACAAGGCATGGGGAAAACCAACCTGCCCAGTCACTGAGCATCACGCCTGAGGTGTTAACAAGTGGCCTTTGCTGGTGGGGGCAGGGGTCATCTCCAGGGCATCTTCATGGCAGGCTCGTTAAGGCCTGCACTGTAACGAGCACATGGGGAAGCCAAAGGTGCCTGAAAGTTACCCAGGCAGCCCTGGCTGTCACCTCTACAGGCTTGGTTTTGCAAAACGAAGGGTAATCATTAAAGATTAGCCCCAGGGCTATAAATAATAGTGCTGAGCTGGAAGGAGCAGTCTCACAGCAAAGGATTGCTTGGAGGAGAGCAAAGCCAGAGGCGCTTGAGGAGGCTGGTAGGAGCTGGGTCCAAAGGAGGTGGCTCCTCAAGCAGCAGAGATCTGAGCTGCTGCATGCCAAAGGTCTCTGCTGCATGGAGAGGCTGGACAAGGGACTTAAATAAGCTTTAAATAAAGAGCCTCAGCCCTTATGGTGGCTGGGAGAGTGCTCAGCAGAACATCTTGTGGGCCTGGTCCTGCTCTGGTCCTGCTCCAGCACCGCTCTGGGCTTTTACCGCGTGGTCCTTGGCTGCCAGGACTGTGAGTCCGAACCAGCTGGTCCTGTTTCAGAGCCAGTGCGAGGGCTCAGCATCATCTGCAGAACTCCCCAGGGAAAACTGAGGCATCGAGCACAGCTGTGACCACCTGAGTCCCTGCCTTTGCTCTTTGTGCTCTCCCAGCTCCTGTCTCTGTGTGCACAGCTCGGTACAGCCTGGTCCCCAAGGAGCAGGGCTTGATGGACAGGCTGGTGGGATTGCAGACAAAGGCGAGCGTGTGCTGGGCAGGGAGGGATAATTGGAACAGCACAAGGCTGGTCTTGAGCTGCTGAGCACAGCTAATGGGTGAGATGCTGGCAGCGTGGAGCACTGCCTGCTCACAGAGCAGAGACACACACAGAGAATTAACCCCGCTCCCTTCTCTCTTCGCCTCTTTTCTCCCCCTTCCCACGGTTGAAAGGCTGATTCTACTTTTGGGACATGGCCAAAGCAGGAATCATGTGGAGAGGACCCAGCAAGCCATGGCTGTGGCACAGAAGGGAACCTGAGTCCTGCTTGAGCGATCATCCGTGGTTAGGGGGAGGGTGCCTCGTGCGTAGTTTCGGTCCAAGACATTTCTAATTAGGTTAAACAGCCCATGGCCGGCCTGTGGCCAAGGATGCCAACACGTGCCACTGTCAGATCTGCAGTCTGGGGCTGGGAGCTTCCCTTTTCCCAGGCAATGGCCAGGCTGCCAAGGGACTGATGCTGTGGGGCTGCACGTCTCCACCTGCATTGCTGACTGCTCACCTCCGGGCTGGGAAGGGCAGAGGAGCCCACATCAGGCTTCTGAGGGCAATTCTCCCTTGGGAAGCAAACACCTGGGCTGCTGTGGTGCTGGGCACCCTCCATGCCTGCCCCCATACCTTAGGTTTCCTTCCAGAGCACCTGGATGTCCTTGTCTCTCCATGAGTAAGACATCCTACATCCCCCAGGAGCAAATGAGAGGTTCCCTGAGGGTTTTGCTCCTGGGGCTGATGGCAGAGCCAGCCCAGGGCGCGGGGGGCATCAGGGAGAGGCTGGGCAGGGACTCCTGAGGCTGTCCTAGTCCAGCTGCCAGGCCTCTGCCAAGCCCTGCCCACAGCCCTGGTAGTCAATGGCAACCTCATGCCGGTTTCCATGGCAGTGGGAAAAATTAATGCTGATGAAGTCACTCAGGAGAGAGAGAGAGAGACCCTGATGGCTCTAGGCATGATGTCCCCCCACCCCTTCTTCACCTGGCCCTAGGAGGGTCACTGACCATTACCTGCCTGAAGCTGAGCTGGTGGTACTGTGGGGTGCTGGTCTCAAAGCCCAGATCATCCTGGGCAGTTCCCTCCTAAATTTCCACTGCTGGTCTTCTGCCAGTTCCTCTAACCCTTATCCAGCCCTGCAACCCACCTGGGCTGGCCCAGCCTCACATTCAGCCCCAGCACTTGAGCAAAGCCAAAAGGGGCTCGAATGAGGCTGAGGCTGGGCCCTGTGGGGAGATGGTGGCCCGAGTCTCACAGTGTCCCTGTGCTGGCCTGGTGGGGATCTCTGCAGGGATGGGAGCCACAGGAATACCCTGAGCAGACCTCCACCCTGGGACTTTGCTCTGTGTGGACATCCAGGGACATGACCAAGGTCCCCTGGGGATGCTGTGGCAGAGGGAATGTCCCCCAACCTCTGTAGCTGCGCTGGGGCTGCCCCAGCTGCTCTGGTGGGAAACAGGGAATGGGGATCCCCAAAATAATCCTGCTCTTCCTCCTTTGGCAGCGTGATAGAAAACCACCACGGGGCGGACGGGGCGGAGTACGAGGTGGAGTACCCTGAGTACGGAGAGGGCTGCCTGCTGCAGTGCGACTGCTCGGCCGAGTGCTACCGCGAGGACAGCGGCCACCGCGAGTACAGGTTTGCCTGGACTTTGGGGACCTGCTGTGCACAGGGTCCCCACCCAGGGGCAGAGGCCAGGGGCTCGTCCCTTCTTCTTTTCTCAACCTTGTCTGCTGCATCCCACAGGTTGAAAAGGCGCTCGAGCAGCTCCACCTCTCCTCCACCCAAGAAGAAAAAGAAGAAGAAATCAGGTCACCGCCGGAGCCGGTGAGTCCCCGGCTGTCCCTGTGCTGTCCCCTCTCTCTGGAGGGCAGCTCACCTCCCAGTTCAGCCCTTTGCCAGGCTCTGGAGGGGCCAGTCACCTCACTTTGGGGGGCAGTACATCCCTGAATGTGCACCCCTAAGAGGTGCAATGCATCTGCATGTATTGATACTGCAACACACGTGTGTGCACACACCTACTGCATGCACTGGTGGGACCTTGCCTGGTCCATGTGGGGAAGGAGCTCACTGCCACGGGGCACAGCACCAGGCAGGATGTGGCTCTGTGAAGGGCCCATCTACCCCAAACCTCACCACATAGCCCTGGTTGCCTGGGCAGGATGCTGTCCCTAATGTCCCTTTCTTCTCTGCCTTTCCCGTGGCAGCAAAAAGAGGAAACCTGGCTCAGAGCGCAGGTGAGTGACCACTGGGCTGGGTGGGCTGTGGGGTCCCCTCTGGGCTTGCAAGGCCACTGGGCACAGGCTGACCTCTGCCACCCACTGTCCCCCTCTGAAATCCCGCTGGGAACTGGCCACCTTGTCTCCTGCTGGAGGCTGTAGAGCCCACGAGGTGGCAATGAGACACAGCAGGATTTGGGCATTCCAGAATTGAAGGCAACCAGAGCCCTTCTGCCAAAATTCCCTTTCTGTCCCCTAGCTCAAATCCCCCAGGAAATAACTGCCATGTGGTGTTCATGCATCCCATGGGGTGGTCTAGGGGAAGCAATGTGGCTGGGGGTGATGGGACCAGGCTCCCCTGGGCCAGGGGGAAGAGGCTGGGGAGTCCCTTGCTCCCTGCTCAAGGGCACCCACTTCCCCTCTAGCTGTGACAGCTCTTCACCCATCCGCAAGGAAAAGAAAAAGAAGACTGGAAAGAAACACAGACGTGACAGGTAGGATGGACACAACAGCATGCTGGGGACAGCAGGGGTGGCTGGGGACAGAGGGGCTCCTTGGGGCTGCTCAGGTCCTTGGGCTGGGGTGGGATTTAGAGGATAGGGATGGACTCTGATGACTTTTCATGGGGCCATCACCTCCTCACAGCCACTGTCACCTGCCTCATCCAGTGACCCACCTCTGGGCCATCTCCCTGTCCTCCTCATCCCTGGAAACTGCCCAGCCTTTGCTCCCTGCTGGCCAGACCAGTGTATCTCCTTCAACTCTGCCTCCTCTTCATCCCTCAGGTCTGAATCGGGGTCACGAAAAAAGAGAAGACACAGGTAAGAGTGACAGCTACCAAGAGCCACCCCAGTGCCACCAGCTGCCAGCTTCCCCTGCCAGGGACCCCCTGTGCCCTGCCCTCCTGCTGTCCCCTCCCCTATGCCCATCGTGATGAGCCTCCTCACCCCACACTGCTGTGTCCTCTGCCCTTGGATGTGGCACAAGGGCACTCTGGCTGACTGTGGGGCGCCAAATGTCCCCCAGGGGAGGAGGGAGGATCCCAGGAAGCCGTGGCCAGGGCAAACCTTGACAATTGCCCTGTTTTGCAGATGCCCTCTGCCAACACTGCTATTTTAAGGTGAAAGGAGTGAAAAACACACAAAGGGTGCCAGAGAGGGCACAGGGTAAAACAAGTGTGGGGGGTGACAATGGGCCTGAGCCCTGAGGATGCTAAGCAGAGCCAGTCCCCCTCTTTTCTCCTGCCTGGTCTCACCAACCTGCTCCTGACCTCACAGTCCTCCCAAATAAAATCCATCTGGGATCCCCACCACGCTTTGAACCTCAGTGGAGCCCAGCTCCAGAGCAGGCAGGTCCTTCCCCTCGCTCCTCCCCCAAAAGCCTCGGTGTCTCTGGGGGCTGGGAAAGCCACCCCCAGGTGCTGTCCCCACTCCCACATCTGCAGCTTTCGGCTCTTCCCGCAGGTCCCGAAGCCCCAAGAACAAACGGAAAGAGAAAAACAAGGAGCGCAAGAGGTGAGGGGCCGGGCAGGCGGGGGCAGCGGGGCTCTCTGTGTCCCTGCGTGTCCCCGCGGCGGCTCAGCCTGTCCCCCGGCCCCGGCCGCCCTCTCCGCAGGTCCCGCAGCGAGTCCCCGGCCTGGCGCTCGCACCGCCGCAGCTCCTGCAGCTCCCACAGCGCCTCGCTCTCCTCCGACGACAGCGGCTCTAAATCCCCGGGCAGGTAGGGACCGTCCGGGACCCCTGTCCCCACCGCCACTGCGATGGGACCCTGCGGGGTAGAGAGCGGGGACAAAGAAGTCCTTGTGATGGACACACTCGCGTGGTAGAGGGCAGGGAGGTGGGAGGCAGAGGTGTCCCAGGGATGGAGACCTTGGAGGATGGAGGGCAAAGGCAGGTGGCAGAGACATCCCTGAGACAGGTATAGAGCGGAGTGGGATTATGTGCTGCAGCATCTCTGGAAGGTTTGGGAGCATGACGGGCTTTCAATTTTTAGCCAAAGAAAGCACAAAGCACCAATTCTCGTCCCATTTCTGGCGTCGGCAAAGCCCGGGCTGCAGCCGGCGGCTCTGCCGGAGCCGGGCCAAGGGCGGGCCGGGCTCGGGGCCGGGGGTGGCGGCAGCTGACGGTGCGGTTCTCCCCAGGCTGAGCCCCAAGCGCCGGCAGGATGGCCCCAAGGGCAGCAGCGCCCGCTCCAGCCGCAGCCCGTCCTCGCCCTCGCCGCAGCGCTCGGCCTCGCCGCACCAGAACGGGCACAAGGGCAGCGCCCAGAACGGCCGCCACAGCCACGGCGCCCCGCTGCCGGAGCCCTCGGATGTACGTAGGCTTTTCTTGGATCACTCTTCGCTTCCCTCCCCTCCTCCCTCCACAGGACTGCTCCCCTGCTCTCCTGTCCCCTCCTTTCCCACTCCCTGCCCTGCCCAACCGGAGCAGCCGGGGGAGATGTGGGGTGCAGGTTGCACCTTCCCAGCGCTCACCAACCCCGCGCTGGGTGCACGATCTCCCTGGGGGAGCCAGCCCATCACCCTGAGGCAGGGATCAGGGCAGCCAACAGGTCATCCCTCTCCCAAAGCCGCACGTCGCCCTGCGGATGTCATCCCCACTCCGGACGATGGCTTGGCAGGCCAGCATCACCTGCCAGGGTCACCACCGGGCTCAGCACCCCCCTGAGATTGATCCCAAGCAGCCAAGAAATGGCCAAAACAGGAAAATTACTTTTTGCCCACCAACCCCAACTCTCCCTAGTGCCAAGGGGCCAGCACCAGTGCTCAGGACCCCAACACTCTGTCTGGCCATGTTAGGGTTTGGAGGGGATTAGGACCTTGAGGTCCCCATGACAGGTGACATCGGAGCTGAGCATCCCCAGCTCTGCCTCAGCATCCCGAGGGTCTTGCTGAAGCCCTGGGGGCTGCTCCCCTGCTAACCCAGCAGGCCCAGGGGCCAGCCCCAGTTTAACCAGTGCTGGGATGGTGAGGAGCTGCTTTGGCTGATGGAGGGCTGGAGGCAGGGCTGAGTGAAGCCCTGGAGCCCACCCAGATCCCCGCTTGCCCCAGGGAACTTTATTCCCACAGGTGAGGTCCTGGGCTGGCAGCACCCAACGCTGACACCCCAACACCTGCAGGGCCAGGGGCACCCCGGGGAACGGGGCCAGGACCCCACATCCACGTCCCCTTCACCCTCCCCAGCCCAGCACCCCCCAGCAGCACCCAGCACCCTGCCCACCTCTCGGGGCACCTCTCTGCTTTCTTCTTTCCTGTGGTTTTGGCTGGGGCGTGGGGGGGTTCGGGTGCCGAGGCGCCGCCCCCGGGCTGGCCCCGCTCTCCCCCTACCCACCCCACATCGCCCAGGCCGCCGAGCTCCCTTGGCTCCCCGGCACCAGCGGGACTTTTCTCCAACAACTTTCTCTCTTTCTCTCTCTCTCTCTCTCTCTTTCTTTCTCTCTCTGGTTTCTATTTTTTATTTTTTTTTCTTTTTAATCCCATCTGTGTTTTTCTTTAGCCTCCCATTTGAAAAAAACCCAAACGGTAATATACACTTCCATTTCTTGCTCAGCAGAAGCAGGGACGAGGGGGAGGGAAGGGCAATGAAACGTGCTTTTTTTCCCGCCCCCTTGTTTTAGTTTCCTTTCTCATGATTTATTTTCTTTTCCCTTGTGATGTACAGAAATGCAAACGATATATATTTCTCTTCTTTTTATTTCCCCCCACCCCGTCGTCGTCGTGTTGTTCTAGAATTTTTTGCTTTTGTGTGTGTTAATGTGGAGAAGAAAAAAAAAACAAACAACAGAACAAAAACAAAAACCCGATGTGTTTTCTAAATATTTACGACCGCTGAACGTTGTATTTCCATTTTCTATATTTTGAACAAGGAATTTAAAAGGGAAGGGAACCCAGCAGCTCTACATTGCAAAGGAGTGAATTGCCCTTTTCCTCCTCAAATTGGCAAGTGCCCGCTGTCCTCGGCTGGACCCTGCTGCCGTGGCGAGTTTGTCCTCCCCGGTGCAGGCTGAGCCCCCTCCCCACCTCCCGCAGACCCCCCAAAATCTGCCCAGCCCAGCACCCCCAGAGCCGCCGGGAGCCAGGGGTTGCCTTCCCTTTTAAATCCCCACTCCTGTCTCCATCCATCCCTGCTGCCTTCCCAGCCTTCCTCCCGGGTCTCTCCTCCTCCTCCTCTCCCACACGCACCCTCCAGCCCTTCTCTTTCTCCGCTTTTCTTTGGGCCAACACAACCCGACCTCCCTCGCCGTGTCCCACCTCCATCCATCGCCTTCCCTGCATGTTGTCCGGGACTTTGCCGTGTCCTAGGGTGACTTTTAAAGACTGAACCGCAGCCTGATCGGGTTACAGACACCAACCAGCCACCTCCCCGCGGCCCCCCCCTCGCCGGCCGGCCGCAACCATCCAATTAAAAAAAACAAAACCAACCAAACAAAAGTTCTTAAAAAAGAGAATAAAAATTAGACGCAAAAGAAGCCAATTTTAAAAATAATTTTAAAAATTCTAAGCTAAGCAAACGGGATTAGCCGAGGGGTCTGGATCGCCGTACTAAAGAGTCCTTGTCTTTTTCCCATTCTGCCCTCCAAATGTGGAGATTATTGTTTTCTTTTTTTATTATTGCATTCCTGTCACTGCCAATTCCAAAGGTAGGTATTTTGTCCACCTCTGCACGTTCACTTCTGCAGATGAGCCTGTTGAAAAGCACCGTAGCTTGATTTAATGTTATTTTCTCTTTCTTTCTGACTTTCTTTCTCTTTCTTTCTCACTCCCCTTCTCTGTCTCTCATTTTGTCTCTTTTTGGTGGCTATATATAATTTTTTTTTTAATTTGTATGGTTTTCCCCAGTTAGCTGCAAAGCCATGCTCTTCTCTTATGTTTTTTTTAAATATTTTTTTTGCCCTGTCCACGTAATATTTTTTTTCTTTCTTCCCTCCTTTTCTCTTCCCCGTCTCCTCGTGCTGTCGGTAGAATGCATTTCTGTGTCTTTCAGCCCTCCGAATTTGTGTTGGTTTCCATTCAGGGGCCGAGCACGGCTGTTCCCTTTCAGTCCCCCATTAGTGGTGGGTAATGAAGGCGAATATATTTAGGGAGAAATAGGGGCAGTGACTACGGGTAGAAGTGGGCACAGGGGGTTTTTGGGGTGGATGGATGGGGCAAGAAATGAGAAATCTGGAGAGATGTGTGGGTTTAACCCCTCTTCAGGGGGAAAAAACCCAGCTCAGGGAAAATTCTGAGGGAGGCTGCAGTAGGGAAAGGTTTAACTCTTCCTGTCTGCGAGGGGCAGGTGACAGCATCCCTGCCCTGGCTGTCCATCCCTACAAGTGCCCAGTGTGTGTTTTCCCTCTTAGGCTGAGCCTTTGGCAAGTGGGGTTTATTCGGGATGCTTTTACCTTTGCTGCCTCCCTGCATGCCAGGGCTGGAGACTCCAGGGTGGGCACCTGCATCCCACAGCCCGACCCACGGCACGGCCAGCCAGTGCCAAAATGCCACCCTGGGAAAGAGGAACCCTCTCTCTTTCTCTCTTCGTCGTCCTCTTCTTCTTCTTCATCTTCTCTGCTTTAATGTTCCTCTCCTGGGATGCAGGGCTGGCATGGGCTCCCCTGATCCCCCTTTCTGGGCTGCTGATCCCCCTGGAGCAGCTCCGTGTGCCCCGGTACTTGCAGGGCAGCTGGGCAGGGCTGATAATCACTGCCAGCCCCAAATCCCCCCATTTTGGCTTCAGTTTTCTGCTCTGTGGCTGGAGGGATTGACTTTTCCATGGGAACAGGGAGGTGGTGGTGTGTGGAGCAATCTGGGATGCTCAGGGACACGGAAGCTTCACGTCCCTTTTGCAGCATCTTCATGGTGGTCCCCAGAATCCCAGCCCTTCACACTGCCCCCTTATTTTTTGGAGGGAGAAAAGTGGCATTGAGAACACAGTGGGATGGGTGGAGAGAACCTCAGCCTCAAGGATTCACTGACCATTCATTGGTGTATTTGGGGCAAGGGGATGATGAGGAACTGGGGTCACAGCTCTGGGCATGGTGACACAATCGTGGCACCATCCCAATATCCCTGAAGCCCTTTTGACCCCCTCAGCTGGACTCACCCTTCCAGGGATTCTCAGGGACCTGGCACCGGGCTGTGGCTGGGGGGAAGGAGACCCCAAAGCCCCCTGAGCTGGGGTTTGCCAGCTTGGTCAGGACTGGTGTTGCAGGAGCCATTTCCACCCATCTTTTTGGTCTCGTGGTGTTTGCAAAGATGGGGGGAACATCCAGGCAGCGTTTGTGGCTCAGAGGAGCTGAGATATTTGGGAGCCTTAGGGCTGGGCAAAATCCTTTAAGATCTCAGTGTGAGCCTGGCTCAGGGCTTGGCCACGCTGGTGGCCCAAGGTTTCCCCTCCCCGTAGGAGAAGTGAGTTGGTTTGTTTTATTTCTCCTCTCTCTGACTCTGTCTCTGTCTCTCCTCCTTCTCTCGCTCTTTCTTTCTCTCTTGCATTTTTGTGAATCTAATGATGCACTTATATTGCCCCGCTTTTCCCTTCTCTTCATACCTTACCTACTAAAGGAGGAAATGCCACTTTTTTGGTAAGTGGATGTTAACCAAGAGGGACTTAAAAAAAAAAAAAAAGCATATAATGGAAAAAATTAAAAAAAAAAGGAAGCAGAAAGCAAAGTCTGTGTTGAGTGCTGATGAGGACTTAGCAGTTCCCTGCAGAGTCACAGCTAACAGCTCAATGCGTGTCCCAGGAAGAGCTCAGAGACATTCGTTTATCTCAGTAACGAGGACATTTGTGAAGTTTTGCTTTGTATTTAATTAATTTATTTCTAATTTTTTTTAAGTTTGATTTGATTTGGATGGTTTTTCTTCTTTCTTTTTTGTTGGTTTCTTTTATGCCTTCTCGCCCCCGCCCCCCCCGCCCCCTCCTCTGCCTTGCCCTCCATTGTCGCTCTGTGCCGTTTTTTCCTCGTTTCTGGGTTTGTTTTAAGCCGAAAGCCGTACAGTCGATAAAAACTACACGTATCGGAACATATATCTCTATATATGTGCATGCCTCAGTGTGAGCAGACCCCATCACCTCCAGCCCTCTTTGGTTCGACCCTTTCCCCTCGGCTCAGTCTGATTTACTCTCCCCCAGTGCCTCACCTTCCCTCCTCTCATCTGTTCTTTTTTTTTTCCTTATTTTTTTCTTTATTCCCCATTTTCTTTCCTTCGTTTGGGTTTTATCCCCCTTTCCCCTTCCCCTTTCTTGGTCGGGGCGGGCGGGTACCAGGGTTTGCTTTATCCCCTCTCCAGGTGTTTTTTGGTGGGGAGGGGGGGTTGTTTCTTTCCCTTCAAGCTCTCCCTCCCCGACGACTTGGGGCTTTCTTGGATTTGTTTCTTTTCCTCCCATCCCACCCCTTCCTTTGGGTTTTTATTACGATTTGAGTTCTATTTTTTTGGCGTTTTGCATGCGGAGGTTTGCATGACCCACGTTGTTGAGGGCGAGAGGAAGGTGCAGAGTAGCGTCTGTGTAGCCTGCCTTATGCGATGTGCATTGACGTTGTGATCTGCGCCCCCGGCCCGGCGCCCCCCGCTAAAATCCCCTTTCTCCTTCTTTCTTGTCTTCTTCCTCCTCTCCCTCCTTTTCTCTCTCTCCTCCCTTGCCAGAGGCCAACCTCGGCATCCTCCTCTCCGCGGGCTCACGGCAGGACGGAGCCGCCGTCCCCCCGCCCCCGGGGGAACCGACACGGCGCCCGCAGCCCCCGGTCGGCCACACCGGATCGGGCCAAGCACGGCCACCGGCACCGCTCCCGCAGCGCCTCTCCGCCGCCCCGACACCGCGGCCAGAGCAAGGGCCGACCCCCGGGCCCCCGGGAGCCGCCGCCGCTCAGCCCCGCCGGCTACAGCAGCGACTCGGAGGGCTCGGCCGGCTCCCACCCCTACCACCCCCCGGCCGGCCCCGACAGGAACCACGGCGCGCACGGCAAGAAGTAAGGGAGTCCCCGGGATGGGGTCCCCACATCCCTGCCGGGGTACGGGAGCTGGGCTCGGCTGTTTGTACCTTAAATCCATCCAGCAAAGCCCTGGGGCTGAGCTGGGGAGAGGGGCTGGGTTGGGATGCTCAAGGGATGGGGGTGGGAATAGGGATGGGAAAGGGACGGGAATGGGGATGGCAATGAGGACGATGGGGACGGACCCGGGGATAGCGGTAGGGAAGGGATGGGCTTAGGGATGAGGGTGGGGATAGGGAAGAGCCACAGCGGGTCAATGGTAGCACACTGTGGGAAGGGTCATTATCCCACTGCGAAGGGCAGAGACTGGATGGCAGCGTGGGATTATAGCATCCCACAGGATGCGGGATGGCAAGCCAATGAAAGCCCCGTGCTGTACAGTCAAAAACTGGTGTTCCTCATGGGAACCTGGGGTCCCTGGCTGCTGGGGGACACCCTGCCAGCCAGGACGAGGTGCGAGGCGGTGCTGGCATCTGCCTTCACAGGGTGAAGGAGCGGCACCACCGGGGCCGGCCCAACAACAGCTCGGAGTCGTCGGCCAAGCACTCCCGGCACGCCTCGGAGCGGAGGAAGAGCCCGTCCCCCAGCCCGGGCCAGCGCAGCAGCTCCTGGAGCTCCAGCGGCTCCATCTCCAAGTCCCGCTCCCGCTCCCGGGAGAAGAGAGCGGCGCGCAGCCGCTCCCGCTCGGCCTCGCCGAAAAAGCCAGCCAGCAGGTCAGGCTGGGGACAGGGACGGGGGACACGGGGGGCGCCAGCAGCGGGCTCGGAGGGCACCGCTGCCAGGGTGGTCCCACTGCCCTGGCACTCGGGGAGGGTCACACCCAGCCCCAGGTGGCAGTGCCATCCGCGCGGGGAGCTGCTGGCACAGGGTGTCCCAAGGGACCCCATTCCCTGACCATCCTCCTCCTCCCCGGGCTGTAGAGAGAAGGACAACGAGCCCCGAACACGCCACGGGGATCCCGATCCCGCCCGCCCCCGGCGCCGCTCCCGGAGCTACTCCCCCATCAGGAAGCGGAGACGCGACTCGCCCAGCTTCATGGAGCCCAGGAGGATCACCAGGTGTGTCCTGCGTGTGACAAAGCTCTGCCACGGCCTCTGCCACAGCCCGGGGATGGGCTCTGCTGCCCGCTGAGCCCTGAGGGTCCTGGGTGGGCAGATGGGGATGGATGATGGATAGATGGATGGATGGATGGATGGATGGATGGATGGATGGATGGATGATGGATGGATGGATGATGGATGGATGGATGGATGGATGGGGGATGGATGGATGGATGGATGGAGGGATGGGGGATGGATGGATGGATGGATGGATGGATGGATGGATGGATGGATGGATGATGGATGGATGGATGGATGGATGATGGATGGATGGATGGATGGATGGATGGATGGATGGATGGATGGATGGATGATGGATGGATGGATGGATGGATGGATGGATGGATGGATGGACGGACAGACACACAGATGGACAACAGCAGCTCTGTGGATGCACAGATAGCTCTGAGGATGACTGGGTGAATCAGCTGGCCCAGACAGATGGGCAACCAGACTGCCTCCAATACTGTGACCCTCTGATCTCTCCCTATTTCGAGGCATGAAAACAGGAATTAATTTAATCCGCCTGTGCATACCCCAGCAATGTGCACGTCCCAATCACGTCTTTCCTGCCCTCCAAAGGCTGGTTTCTCCTCCTTGGGATCCTATTGCCTCAGGATCCTGAGCTGTAAGACAGGCAATATTTCGTGCCAGACAAAACACTGTGTGCATATGTAGCACCTCGTTAAGATGCAGCACTGGCTGTGCCGAGCCCAGATTACCTCCTTCCTGACCTATTTGTCTCTCCCACTATCCACTGGGTGATCGGGGGGGGGCTGGATTTTCAGAAATCTGCCTCCCTGTGGGAGGGATTCTGTTTTCCCTGGGCAGGAGGGAGGACAGGAGAAAGGACAGGAGGAGCACTGCAGAGCCCACGGGTTAGAGCTCCCCACAGTTCTCCCTGATGGATGCCCTGGAAAGAGAATGGGCTGGGAAAGCTGCTCCTAGCCCAGCCCAAGTGCCGCTGTCTGGTTTTCCATCCCTCCTGCTCCATCCAGGTTTTCCCAGGATGTCCCCAGGGAGGTGGCAGGGCTCGGCTGGAGAACACAGTCCCTGTGGGGACTGTTCACCTCATCCCCATCGCCATCCTCGGGGTGGATTGGGATGGCAGACCTCGCTGTGCTGGGGGTTCAGGAGGAGCAGAGCCATTTCAGTGAGGTGCAGAGGATGCTGTGGGAGGGGGCAGCCAGGGAAACAACCCCAGCCCCCCTTGCCTGCCCCACAGCCCAGCCACAGGCTCAGGGCTTTTCTTTGCCCGCCTGCCCTGTCCCCAGTTCCCATCACGCCCCTCCACCATGTGGTCCTACCTCAGTGATGCCAACTTCTCCTTTTCCATTTCATCCCAAGGTCCCTCCCGGAGAGCATCGCCGCCAGCCCGGCTCCCAGGGTAACCTTCCCCCTTCCTCCTCTTCCTCCTCCTCCTCCTCTTCCTCCTGGACCCCTCTGTGTCTCCTCACACCTTAGGATGCCCTCAGCACCCAGCCACTGTCTGGTCTCATTAACACCAGCCTGGGAGAAGGGACAAGGGGCCGACTCCCGATGTCGCTGCCCCCTGTGTCCCCCCACCCCACTGTCCCCGTGTCCCTCCTCATCCTCCCGCTAATCCCGACCGTCTCTTTTTTCAGCAGCTTTCAATCTTTGGTGCCTGGGAAACACAAAAGCCACATTAACCCGCTCACTTTCTGCCCTCGACGCTGCCTAATCCAGGACTAACACCCCGGGGGAGGGAGCAGGGGAGGAGGAGAGGGATGGACGGAGGGGAGGCGATACCGGGTGGCCGCATCCTTCCAGCCCTGAGCCGCTCCGAGCGGGCCGCTGGGACGCTTGGCCGTGCCTGGGTGGTGCCTGACTCAGTTTCCCTTTTCATTTACAGCGCTCGCAAGCGTCCCATCCCCTATTACCGGCCCAGCCCCTCATCCTCCAGCTCGCTGAGCACCTACTCGTACAGCCGGAGCCGCAGCCGCAGCTACGGCAGCTCCAGCTCCAGCCGCAGCCGCAGCCGGACTCGCAGCCCCCCCAGCCGCTCCCGCAGCCCCAGCCGCAGCCCCAGCTACAACAGCCGCAGCAGCTCGGAGAGCGCCGGCTTCTGAGCGCCTGAGCTTCTGAGCTTCTCAGCTTCTGACCCCGACAGCCCAGCTCTGCCCCCAGAGCACCGGGGAGGAGGTGGAGAGGAGCCGGGGGATGCTGAGGATGGACCTGGCAGCGGGGGAAAGCACGGCCGGGAGCGCCAATGGGTCCCTGGAACGCCCTGGGAGGGGGTGGTTCCCCCCGCTGCGAGGTGTTTTGGGGTCGGGATGGGGAAGGGGAGGATCTCTTCTTATTACTGCGAGTGCCGGGGTGGGCGGGGAGGGGTGGGCAAGCACAGAGCGAGGGAACAAATGCTCTGCAGAGACCTTGGGACCTTGTTCCCTTGGCTGGGGACACCCCTGGGGTCCCCCTGTGCTTTTTTTTGGTTTTGTTTGACTGTTTTTTAGCACAAGAGCATCCCGGGGAGGTGGGGGGGGGGCAGGCTCAGCTGGAGGGTGCGATGCCAACCAGAGGTGAGCAATGCCCTTGTTTCCCCCAGCAAAGTTGTCCCCGTGGGAGACAGGGGCTCTGCAAAACATTTTGGGGTCCCCCCAGACCTGAGCACACGCCGAGCCGTGGATGAACAAAGCCGGCAGCGCCTGTAATTCTCTTCCCAAGGGAGGAGATCCAGGGAAAAACGCTGCTTGTCCAGCTCAGGAGCCGGCCTGGTACCCACCCACCCCACCCCACCCAGTCTGGGGGCACCGAGCTGTCACCCCCGGAGCAGGGAGCTGGGCAGGGGGGGCATCCAGCCACCCTCTGGCATGTCCCACCTCTGGGCTGGCAGCCCCCAGCCCCCTCCTGCTCTGGGGAAAAGTGGCTGCTGTTAAACTGAATTATGGCAAGAGAGAGGCAGGAGGGTCCCGGGCTTGGCCCTCCGCCCGGATTTTGCAGGATTTTTCTGATTTCCCAAAAAAAAAAAGCACCCCAGGTGCTGAGGACAGCCGTGCCCCCGGGGACAGCTGGAGCAGGAAAATGGGGGTGCAGGACAATGGGGGTACAGGACAATGGGATGCAGGACAATGGGGGTGCAGGACAATGGGGTGCAGGACAATGGGGGTGCAGGACAATGGGAATTCAGGACAATGGGAATTCAGGACAATGGGGGTGCAGGACAATGGGGTGCAGGACAATGGGATGCAGGACAATGGGGGTGCAGGACAATGGGAATTCAGGACAATGGGAATTCAGGACAATGGGGGTGCAGGACAATGGGGTGCAGGACAATGGGATGCAGGACAATGGGGGTGGCCTGGTGAAGCAGAGGAGCCGAGAGGACAGAGATGGGAGCAAAAGGGCGCTTTGGGGTCAGCCTCCCAAACCTGGCATGTCCAGGCTTCACCAGCCCTTGGAGAAAGTCCCAGGAGCTGGGCAGTGCCACCCTTGGCACAGACACCTGAACAAGCAGAGCTGTTAGAAATGGGGTGAGCAGGTAAGGAGGGGACACATCGTGGCTCTCCTTGTCCCCAAGTGCCAGCCCCGAGCAGGGTGGCGGCTCTGGATGCGACTGTGGCAGGAGGAGGAGACAAAGGGTTCTGCTCTTTGGGGAGATGGAGGACAGAAATTCCCCCAGCATCCCCACAAACCCATCCCAGCAATTCCCCGGGATGCTCAGAGCTGAGCCCGGCCCTGCTGGGGTACGGGGAAACCCCCCGACAACACCGAACCCAAGCCAGCAGCGGGGGAACTCCCCAGCGGGGCCGCGGCTCCCAAAAACCCGAGACCCGACTGCAGCGGCGCCGCGGACCAGCCAGCACATCAGGGAAAAATTCCAGTCTTCCTCTTTTACAGTCTCTGTCTCCTGCCGCGGAGGGAGCCAACTGGAACAAATACTCTGTAGAAATACTTCAGTATTTTCCTGTCGCGCCTGCGCTCTCTCTCTGGGTTGTGAGTACAGCTGTAGATGCCGTGAGCTGGTGCAATTATAATAAATATACAGTATATATTGTAAATTACTCTGCTGGGCACGGAGAGGTTTTTTCCTGCCAGGGCCACGGCAGGGTTATCCCGCTCCGCTCCTTCCCTCTGCGGATCCATCCTGCTCTTCCCTCCGGCTCCACGGGGAGTTTTGTGGCTGATCCCACCGGGATCCTGCTGTGTCTGTGGGGAACCCTCTGCATCCTCCTGGCTCCCTGCATCCCTCCCTGCGTCACTGCCATTCGCGGCCAGTCCCATCCATCCTGCCTGCATCCCTCCCTGCATCCTTACCTGCATCCTCACCTGCATCCCTGCATCCCTGCCTGCATCCCTGCATCCCGGCATCCCTCCCATTTGCCTGCCACCCTCCCATCCATTCCATACCTCCCGCATCCCTCTCCTGGTCCCTCCCATCCCTCCCTGCTCCTCCCCGCATCCCTCCCATTTCCCTGCATCCCTCCCTGCATCTTCCTCTGCATCCTTCCCTGCATCCCTGCCCGCATTTCTCCCCTCCCTCCCGCATCCCTCCCGCTCCCTCCTTCCCCTGGTTCCCCTCCCCAGCCGCCGCAGCCCCCCGGGGATGCAGCCCCCAGCCCCACATGGCTCAGCTCCCCCTCGCTGCCACTCCAGAGTCAGCTCTGGTCTCTCCCCCAGCCAAAGGACACCCCCGAATCTCCCGCTGCTGCATCCCCCCACTCCTGGAGCTCAATAATTCCTGCCCGGGCTGTGTCAGGGCTCAGGTGCCGCCCACCTCCCTCTTCTCCAGGGCAAACCTGGGGCCAGAGGGGCACTGGGCAGAGGTCAGGGGCTCCCAGAGCCGCCAGGTTTGCTGGGCTGGAGAACAGCCCTTCCCCAGGGTGGGAGATTGGGCTCGGCCCCACACGGGAACCCCTCCCTGGGTGCCAGGTGTGTGCAGAGACCTGGATGGAGGATCCCCTTCCAGCCCCCCTGTCCCCTCCAGTCCCTCTCCCCCCCTAGAGCCCCCCTAACCCCATTATCACAATCAGCCCCAGACCCCACTGGCTCCCCTCAGGTCCTGCAAGCCCTCACCAACCCCTCCAGGTCCCATTGGCCCCCAACCCTCAGCAACCCCCAGGGACCCTCACTCATGGGGACTGGAGCAGCCCAGCTTGGTGCTGGGGTTTCCTACCAGGGTGCTGAGCACTGGAGTGCCAGGGGCTGGGGGGCTCTGGGACCTTCTGTGTGACCTGGGGAGGTCTGGGACCTTCTGGGTGACCCGGGGGGTTCTGGAACCTTCTGGGTGACCCAGGGGCTCTGGGACCTTCTGGGTGACCCGGAGTGCTCTGGAACCTTCTGGGTGACCCGGAGTGCTCTGGAACCTTCTGGGTGACCTGGGGTGCTCTGGAACCTTCTGGGTGACCCAGGGGCTCTGGGACCTTCTGGGTGACCTGGGGGGCTCTGGAACCTTCTGGCTGGTGGGTGACCAGGAGCTGGGGTGCTCTGGGACCTTCTGGGTGACCTGGAGGGGCTCTGGGACCTTCTGGGTGACCTGGGGGGGCTCTGGAACCTTCTGGGCGGCAGTGACGCAGCGCAGGGCCACTCACGGCCCTGACTCAGCGGCCGTTCCCGTTCCCAGGCTGGCCCAGCCCCAGCCCCTTCTCCCGCCGCCGCGGGGCCGCATCCCGGGGATTGTTTTCGGGGCAGGCGGGCGGGAGAGGCCGGGAGCCGCTCCAGGGGCCATCCATCAGTGCCGAGCAGGCCGAGGCTGTGCTGATGACAGGAGGATGGAGGCGTCCCTGGCAGGGCTCCCTGGAGGCTGCCACCCCCTCCCCGCACACCCCCACCGCGCTGCGGCTGCGTGAGGCCGCCCGAGTTTCTCGTCCCTTCCCCGGGGCTGCCGCAATTTCCATGAATAGCCAACTGAGCTCCACAGCTAAAAATAACTCTGAGCCCTCCTCATAAGGCCCCGCCGGCCTCTGCCCCGGCAGCTCACACACCATGGCCGAGCGCCGCGTGCCCTTCACCTTCCTGCGCAGCCCCAGCTGGGACCCCTTCCGCGACTGGTACCACGGCAGCCGCCTCTTCGACCAGTCCTTCGGGATGCCCCACATCCCCGAGGATTGGTACAAGTGGCCCAGCGGCAGCGCCTGGCCCGGGTATTTCCGCCTGCTGCCCCGGGAGAGCGCCCTGATGCCCGCGCCCCTCGGGCAGGCGCTGAGCCGACAGCTCAGCAGCGGCGTCTCCGAGATCCGCCAGACCGCCGACAGCTGGAAGGTCACCTTGGATGTCAACCACTTTGCACCTGAGGAGTTGGTGGTCAAGACCAAGGATAACGTCGTGGAGATCACCGGTGAGTGCTGCCGTGGGGCGCTGAGGGTGTCACTGGTGCTGCCCTGGGGCGCTGAGGGTGTCACTGGTGCTGCCATGGGGCGCTGAGGGTGTCACTGGTGCTGCCCTGCAGTTTGCTGGGGGGGAAGGGTGGAATAAGGGATGGGAATAGGGGAGGGATGGAAAAGCAGGAGGAGGAGAGGAGGAAGGGAAAGGGAAAGAGAAAATCGAGGCACAGAGGAAGGCCCAGTGTTACAGCTCATTATCAGGGTGCACTCAGTGCAGAGACTCCCCCAGCCCCATAGATTGACCCCTTGATGCCGTTCTGGAAGGACACAGGGAGGCACCCCTGGCTGGAGCCACAGAGGGACCCCAAGGGTGACGTGGGGTGGCATGAGCCCTGCAGTCCCTGTGCTCCCCACAGCACCCTGGATGCTGTGACAAACCCCAGATCTGTGGCACGAGGCCAGGATGTGCTTCCTGCCGGGTGAGGGGGGCTGGGAATGGGGGCAGTTCTCCAGCCAGATGAATTCAGGGTACAGCCCCAGGGAGCGGGGATTGCTCAATCTCCAGCCCTGCCAAGCTGTGGGGCCAGCTGGCCGCTGTTGGGCCCCTTTGGCCACCCCCAGCTCCTGGTACTGCACTTTCCTCTGCTTAAATTGGGGGGATGCACCCGGAGTGGCCCTGCAGAGGGTCCCCCTAAGTTGCTCCAGGCTGAGATTATGGCAAAAGCCCCAGGACGGGCAGAATCAGCCCCTCACAAGTGTTGGGGTGGGGCAGGAAGGTTCCCACCCAGCCAGTGCCTTGCAAGCATTGCGAGGTTTTGTTTCCTTCCAGGCAAACACGAGGAGAAGCAGGACGAGCACGGCTTCATCTCCAGGTGCTTCACCCGAAAATACACGTAAGTACCAGCGAGGGGGGAGACACCTGATGCAGCCCCCGATGTCTTTGGGGATGTTTTCCCACCCACCCATCCCCTCCAAAGCCAAACTGGGAATGCTGCTCAGCCAAACTGGGAGTGGGAGAGCAGCAATTTGGGGCTGAGCATTGCATCCCCTGGGTTGGTGTCACAGCACTTATCTCCCCCTCCTCTTCCCTCCCCTCCCAGCCTTCCCCCTGGTGTCGAAGCCACTGCCGTGCGCTCCTCGCTGTCTCCCGATGGAATGCTGACCGTGGAGGCTCCCCTGCCCAAACCCGCCATCCAGTCTGCCGAAATCACCATCCCCGTCACCGTGGAGAGCCAGGCCAAGGAGCCGGCCAAGAAGTAGGCGGCACCGAGGAGGAGGCGGAGGAGGAGGAAGAGGAGAAGCCGCCGCTGCCCCCCCGCCCTCAGCTGCTCCCTCACACCCACCCCCTTTTTACTGTTAATTTTGTACTCGCCCTGCCACTGAGTGCCTTGAATAAATGTGAAGGAACCGACAGAATCAGCCGGAATAAAAGCTGGTGAAAGAAACCTGTCCTTGTGGCGTGTCTGCCCCTCTGCTGGGAGCTGGGACGGGGCTGCCTGGGGCCAGAGGGGCAGCAGGAGGGTCCCTGAGCCCTGCTGGCACTTGGGGTCTGTAACCCAGGGCTCCACATCCCAGGCGTTCTCATCACAAGTCTTCACAACCTGGGCTCAGCATCCCGGGGTCAGTGTCCCACACTTCCAGAGCCTGAGTCTCCCCACACCTGGGTCTCCTACATCTCAGCTCTCCAGATCCACCTCCAGCATTCTGGGGGCTTTGCATCCCAGGTCTCCAACACCTCTGGTGTTCACTCCAACATCTCTGGTGTTCACGTGGAAGGTCTCCAACATCTCTGCCTCAGCATCCCAGTTCCCCACAATCTGGGTCTGCTACACCCCAGGTGTCTCCAGTCCCACAGCTCAGCACAGTGAGTCTCCTCATCCCTGCTCTCCACGTTCCCTATCAGGGAATATTTGGGGTTTCCACACCCCAGTGGCACCATCCTGGGATGCTGCATCCCTCAAAAACAAGTGCACAAACACCCCTTAGTGTCAGAGGGCAAAGAGGGGCTTCATGGGCAGAGCCCACCCAGCAGTGCAGCCCCTCGGGCCCAGCCCTGCCCTGCAGCGCTCCCCCTTCCTTCCACCCCATTGTCTGGGGGGCGGTTGTGGGTCCAGCTCAGGGGCTGCAGCTCCCTGGGGGGCTGGAGTGGGGCTGGGTGGTGGTCCCGGTGCCATTTGGCCCCGCTGGCCCCGTGCCCCCCGTGCCCCCAATGCCCCCCGGGTGTCCGGGCAGGACTGGCCCTACATGGCCGAGGTCGGGCCTCGATGTCCCCCGATGTTCCCTGTCAAATCCCACTAATCCCCCTGAGTCATCCCGCTGGCAGAGCTGACCTGGGAGGAATCCTGCGGCTGCGGGGCCCCTCTCCGAGCTCTGGGGGCTCCATGTGCCCCCCACCCCTCTGCTGGGCACTCTCGGCTGTGATGGGTTTGGCAGCTCTCGGGCAGATCCTGCGGATCGATTCCCGATCCCGGTGATCGATTCCTGCTGCCGGGGGTCAGGCCCGTGCTGGGGGGTTCCCGTGGGTGGGTGTGAGCCCGGCTGTGAGGCTGTTCCAGCCCCCGAGGAGCATCCCCGTCCCGTCCCCTCTCCCGTGGCCGCCCCACGGTGACTTTTGCCTCCCCAAAAACACATTCCCCGGGCCGGGAGCGGGGCTGGGGCAGCCCCACGGGGCTGAGGTGGGGTCGGGGTGTCCCTCTCTGTGTGGGGGTGCCCGGTGAGCCCCCAGCCCCTCCTCGCCGGGG